ATATTTGACAGGTCTGTCAGTTTCTGCCGGTTTCACTGTATTGACTAATATCTGAAAAGATAGATTTAAAACTTTAGTAAGAATCTTCTTTGCTTTGAGGGCTACAAATTTGAATTACGTTAAATGATTCTGAGTTAGTAAAGGCAGAGTATTAGTAAAAAGTTTCTGGATCAAATTGATTAATTAAAAGTGGAGTATTTTTAATATTTGTAGTATCAGTAAGTTCAGTTGCTTCTTGTGATTTTGATGTAATTGTATTACTTCTAAAATGTAAATTACTAGTAGTTCTGTTAGAAGATTATGAGACTACTTTATTTATTTCACTTTTTGATTCTTGAATGAATTTACTATTATCTAAGGTTGTTGAAGATACTATCTCTTGAATAATAGTTCTTTCTGTAGAGAAAGAGTTATCAGACAAAGATGATTGAGGTCTAAGTTGAATTTCTTCTGAATCTCCTTCTAAACTTTTTAATTCAAAAGTATTGCCAATAGTACAAGCAGCTCTGGTTAATATATTAGTAGTATCAATAAAACAAGATCTAAAGATTTTTTTTCGAGATTGATATTGAATAGTTGGATTATATGTTCTTTTAGAACAAAAGGTGCGACTTTGGTTGATTTTCAGAGGTATTAAACTTTATGTTGATTGATTGAAGGTAGTCTTCTAAAAGGATATCTTGTTATTCAATAAAGCTCTTCGTCTACTCTAAGAATAGTGAACTTCCAGTTTTAATGTGATTTATTCAGGCTAATATAAGAATTAGATCAAGAATAATTTAATAGATATTATCTTTTGAGAGGTCAGCAGAAGGTTAATATTGACAAGATTCAAATAAAGCAGAGGTTTGAGTAATAATAGTTATAGAGATTTTTTAAATATCAGGTTGTTCAACAAATTCAGAAATAGAGATTCTAAGTTCAGTAAATATGTCAGTTGTTTCCTTAGAATATTGGATTGTTTTGAATTATAAGCGATATCAAGACCAAAAATTGTCAAAGTTTTCTGGATGTTCAAATTCTTCTTCAATAGAATAACAAATTAAACAAGATATATCAGATACAAGTACTAAATTTAAGGATTCTCCAATAGCAATTAAATGATGTAAATTATTGTATGCTCAATTTCTATCTGCAAAATTCATATACTTTCTTATGTTTGAATTCTGGCAGAAATTACCACTTTTGTCACTATGGATTTCTTCAACTTAAGTTGGTCACATTATCAAGTCTCTACTCAAAATTTCTAACTGTGGCTTACTGCAGTCAAGACGTTAAGATCTGCCTAATTCTTAACTTTACCAAATTTATACGTTGAACTTAAACAAATATATCAAGTATGAAGACTTGAAGATGAGATTATGAACAATTTACAGTCAACTCTTGTTATAACGAACTTTATGTTCTAGACCTCAACTTCACTATAAGGCTATAGTGAAAATTTTAAGAGATTTAATTGGTTAATTTGCTATAACAAGAGTATTTTTATTATATTTGTTTAAAAAATTCGTTATATCAAAAGTTCGCTATATCAAGAGTTGACTGTAATTAAAGAATTTAGATGAATAAACTCAATTACAAATAATTTGTAGGGATTAGAAAATTTGATTGACTCCAAAATCCTTGATCGATTAATTGATTAGTTTTAGTAGGTTATAATTGATCAAAGATTGATTATTATATTTAATCAAAAGTTTTGATCGATTAATGCTTGATTACTCTTTTGATCGATCAATATAGTAATTAATAATTAGTCAATCAAAAATTAATTTTATTAATATTAATAATTAATCATATAATAAAATTATCTAAATATTGACTTAAAAAGATAAAAATATTTTTATTATAATATTTAGTAAATATTTATAAGTAATAAACTCAAATATTTTTAAAGATCCATTTTTTTAAAAACTTATCAGTTAAATTAATTTCTGAATTTGCATAAATAGAATATAAATGCATAGTTATAACAAATTCTATATATAGATAAAGATAAATAGAAGTATTACACTAAAATTTTTTATTTGATAAAATTCTAGCATTAAATTTAAAATTTATTTATTTAAAATGGATTGACATATTCTATATTTCTTTTTAAGAAAAGTAATTCACTAACTGTTTCCAACTTTAATCTATTTCTTTTAGAAGTTATTTAATTACCTGTATCGCTAAACAATCTTTTACTTAGTATAGAAGTTATCAGAACTCCTAAATATTTACAAGTAATTTTGAATAATGTAGGAAAAATTTTCCTATGATCAAGCCACCATTGGAATAAATCCATATCAAAAGTAACTTGAAGCATTCGAATATTATTCAAATAATAGGATATTTCATTATTTATTGATAGTGATATTTGAGAAGGAGGACTAAAATCTTACTTAAAAATGATTGAGTACTAGAAGGTTGAACAACTTCTTATGAAATTTGTTCAAGTAATTCATCATCTTTAAACCTAGGATCTAATAAACTTGCCAATAAAATAGAAGCTAATACATCAGGAAGTTTTAGATAGGCGTTTGATATGTCAACAAATACTATGTGTTGTTCAATGCTAAAAGTGTTGAGTAACAAACCCTTTATCAATTAATGCTATTATAAAACGCATAAATTAACACAATTTAAGTGTAAAACAACATATATAGTAAAATAATAGTATTGAAAAACGCATATAATTAGTTGAATAACATATATAATATTACTAATTAATTAGTTAAAAAATACGCTTAGTTTTAATTGAAATTTATTTATAATTTATAATATATAAACTATAGTTATTTAAATTTTGTCTTAAACTACAATGTTATTATATGAATTAATCATCATCCACAGGGTTATCAATAAGTGTGTTGTAATTAGGCATAGACAAAGGTGAATATGTCAGAAATCTGTCATCCTAAATTTAAAGATATTTTAAGTAATTGATTTTAAAATACTACCATATAAATTTAGTCAGTATTTACTTACCATTTCTATATCATTGAATGCGTCAGTCTACATTTTTATGACTTCTGAATCGATTTTTGTAGAAAGATATTTTTTGTCAAATATAGTTTCAATAACTGATTGAATCCAAATACCGTTTGAAGCTGTATGTTCTTTTTTAGCTGTAAAAACAGATTTAATGATTAATGCTATATATATATCAGCTTTCTCATCTTCAGAATTACTAGACTTGTATAGATTTTTATATACTTTTTGAGTATTTTTGTTCTGTTTTCATTCTTTTATCTATTGTTTTGTATAATTATCTTTGAAAGGTTTAATTCAGTCTATACCAAATGTTGATCATAAACTATTTTTAACACGTCTAATGTAATACTTTTATTTTGTACAGATTGCAACAAGGAACTGATTAATTTATCAAATAAATTAGTACATATTTGTTAACCATCACTAATATAATATTATTTAAATTAACACTGACTACTTACAGCGGAATTTATTTTTTTATTTCATAAATCATTAAACGTTAAACCCTTTTCTTCAGATTTTTGAAGCATACTAATACAAAGTTTATCGGCATCCAATTTTTTTTTAATATGATCTTTTATTTGTTGTTTACCTACTTGTTTGTGCTTATAAAATAATTTATAAGCTAACTTTTTAACTGCATCCTATAATGTGAGTAATTATAAGCCAATATAAATAATATAAAGAAACAGTACAAATAATTTATATTTACTTGATAAAACTCGTCTGTATTTTTAATTTTAAATTTTTTCTTTTCTTTTGCATTTTGTCTCAATTTCAGGATGTATCTTCTCATAATCTTTTAATATCGACAATATTTCTGATATTTGAGCACTTTAATCATTCAACATTTTTTCTAAATTTTCCTGTCTAGTTGTTATATAGTTAAGCTTTATCACATTTTTTTGACCGATTTTAACTAACTTCACTAATTCATATATAAAATTGTCTAACAATTTAGAATTAATTTAATAGTAAGTAAACGTGAGATAAATACTAAACTACTGATATAAATTCTGTATGACCTTTAACAGATTCTTTGGAACCTTGCACAATTTTGAATATTATTTTGAATGTAGAATAAGGATGTATTACTACCACGGAAAAGAACATTGTTGATGCTTCTTTTGCCTAATAGAAATACATGATAAATATACTAAAAAAATATTAAAATAATAAAAAATAAACAATAACAATGAAAACATAACTTGCCATCAGTTGAGTTATTGGTTGAGATGATGAACTTTTAGGCATTCAAGTCATTAGTTGAGATGATGAACTTTAGATACTCGAGTCATTAGTTGAAATGATGAACTTTTAGACGCTTGAGCGAAGGTATCATCATTATTTAAAAATAAGTTGATCTCTAGGATCTTTGTTTTCTTTTTTGATCGTAAATTGTCAACTAATTCCTCATTAATATCAGTTGAATGACTTTCTTTTAATGCTATATTTGGTTTTTAGGAAATTAATATATTCGTTTAATTTTGGTAACTAAATAAGGAATTTTTTATAACACCTTTTTTTGAAGTCTAAAGTGTAATTACAAGTTAACAAACATAAAAAATAAATTTAAACAAATATGCTGATTTACAAATGATATATAATTATCCTTTCATTCGTGATTGATCTTGTTTTTAGATATCTTAAATTATTATAGTTAATAGGGTCACTTATTGTCAAAGTAAATATTCTAGAGAGAAAAAAAAAGAAAGAAAATAAAAAAAAAAGTTGTTAATGTTTCTTGACTCTTTTTATATTAATAATTTACATCTGATGTTATGAATGACGTGATTAATCAATTTAATTTGATTTTTAAATACCGTAATTCTTAAATTCATCATATTAATATCACAAGTAACACTATATAACGTAAAATAATCATGTTGTTGATGTTTATTAAATGTTGATTGATGCTTCTCAAATTTAACATAATTATGCAGAATAAATAGTTTATTTAAACTTACCTATATAATTCGTCAAAACAAAAATCTACATTTTATTTTATTTTAAATTAATCTTGAAAAATGCCAAACCATGCATATTCATTTTATGGAAGAGAGTTTGGTTGTCGTTCTTTATTACAAAATCATGTAAAAATTCATAACAATGTAATTGATAAGATTTTACAAGAAATATCTGAAGAAATGGAGTAAGAAACGAATACCTATAAATAATTAGTAGAGCTGAATAATGATAAATTAGTAGAAATAAAGTTAAACTATAATGAATAACTACGAGGTGAGGAGAAGGAAGAAGAGTTGAATGATAGCGAATAACTACAAGGAAAGGAGGAAGAAGAGTTGAGCGATAGCGAATAACTACAAGAAGAGAAGGAAAAAGAGTTGGACTATAATAAACAACTAGAAAGGGAGGAGAAGGAAGAGTTGAACTATAATAAACAACTAGGAGAAGCAGCAATTGAAGAGGTAAAAGATCAACATGTTAAATAGTTTATTTATACTTTATTAATATTTATACAGTGGCTACCAAAAGAAACGCAAGTGTGATTGGTCACCTTTGAACGGCCATAACTCATCAACCACAAATGCTA